TGAAGAGAGCAGTCTGAACGTGCTTCCTAAAAATGGGGAGAAGCTGATGTTATCCTTAGGTTACTGTCAGATATCGTTGGCGGGGATTTTTAGTCTTCTACACACTTGCCTGACTTTCAAAAGGGAATTTGCATTCCTTCAGGAGGGTGCTTCGGCAGCTGCTGTTCTCTTCGGTCGCAGTGGGTCTGCCCCTTTAGCTAAGACACCGGTCGCGTCCCATCCACTGCTGCAGCCCCCGACTCTCCTGAGGCAACCTCGCTGCTGCACGCTGTTCCCCCAGGCACCCCAGGACTATGTAGTGACTGCCAAGTTTTGGGTTGGGTTTTTTCTGCTTGCTTTAGAAGAATCTATCTTGATCTTCACAGATTCAACATTTTTTAGTATTACTGAAATATTTACAGAAAGAACTATGTAAACATGGAACAAATGTGAAGCGGTGCAGTGGATTCTGCCTGTTTCTGTAGATGCGAGTCTCCTTTGCTCACCTCTAGCAGAGCTGATCAAATTGCACAATGATCTTGAGGCTTGTCCCTGTAGCTGGTTGGGGTATTTTATGTAAAGGTGACATAAGTGTGGTAGATTTGATCTATCCTGACCATAAAGAATTTCATGCAGTGCCATTTGGGAAAATTACCGATAAAGCTAGAAAAGAAAAACAGATTCACAGACTATTGAATGAGCTGCTTAAAGAGCAAACAGTGATGTGGTGGATGGAAATGTAATAGCAGGAAGTTACTAGTGATGTTTCTAGAGAATGATTCTTGGTACTAATCTTGTTTAATGCTTTTATAAGCAATTCTGGCACAAAAAGAGTACACAAAAAACCCTGATGATGATGTAAAGTTGGGAGGCTGAAGATATGCGGCAGAACTGGGTGTCCTTGAAGGTTACAGTAAGGAAAAAGGAAACAGAGGATGAATTTCATCAGAAAAACTGCAAAATCACATATTTGGAGAATAAAATACTCCTGGTATAATCACAAGCTTGTTAAACAAAGGGGGCTGGATAGTGTGACCAAGATGTGACATGATGTGGCTGTGAATAAGACAAATGTAGTATGTGCAAACAGGCTGGATAACAGACAAGAGAAGAGGGTAGAAATGCTGTTGTCCGAGGCACTAGTAACATTTCCTGGATGTATAGTTAGAGTAGCTCATATGGAGGAGTCCAAGCCAGAACAGGTGCAGAGAATGAATGGGGAGCCTGGCGCGGAGAGGACCCACCGAGTCTGCCTTATTTAGTTTACCAGAAGGCCAAGAGTTTCTGTGATTGATGTCTTGGAGTGCACCAGAAGTAAATGACTCTTCCCCTTCCTTAATGTTTAAGCATAAGGGCAGTATTGGTCCAGGACCAAGTAAACAGGCCATTAATAAATTTAGATGGAAACTAGAGGAAGGTTGCTGACTAGCTGAGCAGGAAGACTTTTCTGTTCCTTCTGCTCTTGGAAGGGAGTGCTAGATCCTAGCAGGCGTTAGGGGTAGAGTTTTGTCTCCTTCCATGTTCCTTGCTTCCAATTTCCTCTGTTCCTTGAGAAAACAGATTTACCTTAGGAAAACCAGAAGAGCTTAATGTTTCTGACATTGTTACTAACTTTGCCAGTAAACTGTTCTAGGAAAAGGAAAGGGCATATTAGGTGGTCACCGCCTCTCCTTTGCTATCTACAGAGGGCCTTGCGTAAAATATGGGGGGTATAGCAGGGATGTGTGAGAAAACTGGTACCCATTTCTTTGGAAGCACTTCAGAACAGGATGTGCATAACGGTCCTTCGTGTTTGAATTTTGAGAGAGACAAGTGGGCTAACAAATACAACTTGCGTTACTCCTCGTTCCATTGATCTCTCAATGACTTTGCAGTTTTCGCTTGTGGTAGAGTACTTCTGGTGCTTTAGCTGTAGGGTGATCAGTTTAGAAAGTAGTTGAACTGCATATCTCTGCCTAGTGGATGATTAAAAAAAAAAAAGTAAACTTGAAGATCATGTTAATAATTTTGTTTTTTAGAATGCTGAGTTTTGATGAAAGCTGGTCAGAAACTTTTGACCAGATGAGATGACTGATTTGATAAGGCATTTTGTAGGAACATACACTTTTCACATAATTCTTGCATAAGGTATGAAATTTCCAGTGAAAACAAAGGAGCCACATTCACAGTAGCAAATTCTCCAGCAATTAGGGCAGTTGCATGGAACTGGTCTTTCTCAGAAACTCCTGATAGTATGTGAATAAATGTTGAAATGGTTTGGTTTCCTCTTGAACAAAGTACATATTTTTGAGCTTCCCATCTGGCTTACAAGACGTTTGCTGAATAATTTGTGTCAATGTGGCTTTCATGTATTGATCTAAAAATACAAGTGCTAACAGCGTTTGTACTGTCAAGCCCTCTCTAGCTGCTTGCTCTTATGATTCAGTGAATGGAATTCAGAGCAGCGATTGTTTGGCGTTCGAGAATGGCTTCAGCACTATCACTTGGGAAATAATGATTTTCAAATGAGCTTATAGTTGCACTCAGCAAAGCAAACTGATAGAACTGCAGATCTGGAGAAGTTCCATAAACAGTGGATAGTTTTGACTGCCCAGCTGGATCTTACACATTATGTAGATTTGAAATAAGTTAGGTGTCTGCTACAGGGGAGAAAAAATTATGCTGCTGCTTGTCAGTGATGTATCATGCAATGTTGAAATGTATGTGCTTTCACAGTGCAGTCACTTCTGTTTGGAAAAATAGTTTTAAAAGTAGCCTGTTAATTTGCAAACATTTATGTTGGACTAGTATTTGATTACTGCAAGGTGAGTTAAAAATGTATAATAATTTTTGAAGCATCTCATCTGAGAGAATTTGCTGGCTTCCTTCTCTTCTGGCTTTAAAAGGCCTGTGGTTGTTGATAGCCACAGATTGTGTGCATAATAAAGATGGTGCAGCCGTAACACATTCTGCTCATTGAAGGAGGCAAATTGGTTTGACTTTCCTTCATTTGCAATAAATGGGATCTTTGGATATCGCTTTTATAAGGCAAACCCCTGCAATTAGTGCATATGAGTTTGGGCACATAACGTTAATAGCACTAGTACTTGAAAGTAATCCTAATTCTTGAACTGCTTCTCTTCTTAGTGATTGAATTGAGGGACTGAAGTAGCCTCATGGGTCATAAAATGTGACTTTTTAAACCTTACACCATTTTTCATGTTACCAGTAATTGCCGTATATGCAAGCTTCACTTTAAATTTGAAGGGGTGGTAGCTTTTTGGAATATCTAATAACACGTTTGTGTAAACTGCTTTGCTTATTTTCACATATGTTCTGTCTCATGTTGAAGCCAAAACTGTGTTTGTTAATTACCCTTGAACAGAGTCATTTTCTGCCTAAATAAATTCTGGAATGTTCATGATTTTTGCATGGAGAGAAATACATTTCTTGTATACCTTTCACAGGGAAAGTTTATATAGCATTTAACCATAAACCTCCAGCTATAAATTGGTAACAAACTTTCAGCAACTTATTTTTGGAAGAGAAATATCTGTACTTGATAAAACAAATACCATGAGACTCTTAAACTTTGTAGAGGGAATTTCGTCCTGAGACTTGAACCTGAAGGTTTGAAATGTTTGACTTTGCCGCTGTAGCTTTTCTCAGGAACCATCAGCAATACTGTGTGTACAGGTAATCAAAATGCCAGCTTGTTACTTCTGCCTCAAGGATGGAGGAAGAAAAAAGGATACTTTCTTTGAGAATTTTTCCCTCTGTCCCAGAAGATATGTAAATTATCCTATTTACTATAAATTACTATTATTATCTTGCCGTAGTTGTGTACGGAATATTGTACAGTGATCAGCATTTCCAAAATTCTCAGACAAAAATCTAGGCAGACAGAAGGCGGCTGTTTCTCTTATCTTCTTTTAAAATTTTGTTTTAAAGTGAGGTTCCTGATCCCATCTGCTGCTTTGGTCATAGCATACAACTTGAAACCATTTTAATGTTTGTATTTCTCAAATCTGGTAACTGTATCATCAGTGCATGACTGTGCATCAGAGCAATGTTAACATAATGTGTTTTGGGGTTTTTCTTGCAGTGATGCTACAGCCTTTTGACTACGACCCTAATGAGAAAAGTAAACACAAGTTCATGGTTCAGTCTATGTTTGCTCCGGCTGATACTTCAGATATGGAAGCAGTAGTGAGTACTGAAATTAATTAAAACGGATTTCTTTCTGATTGTATAATTTTATAAGACCTTTTACTGTGTTGCTTAAGGGCTGTTGTCAAGCTACACTGGAATGATCCTTGAAAGCTTTGCCAGATTGCCATCTCTGTGCGTGGCAAGGTGTTTGCTGTTTATTTTGAGCCCCAGGAATCTTGCACTGAAAGACACTGTTGATGTCTGTGGTTGCTTCTTCAGGACGCTGCTGTCAGTTATGGGATACCAAACAAATGCTAAGTATGAAACAAATGCTAAGTAGTTGTCATTTTTTTTCAATGTATCATTTTTTGGAAAGGCCGACTTGAACTATATATTCTAAGAATATACAGAATATATTCTAAGTCTGTGGCATCTTTTATATTTTATGCCTCTACTCTCAGTCTTGAGTCTTCCCTTGAGCAGTTCCTTTTCCCAGCAAGAACCAGGAAGAAGATTTACAAGTCTTGTATTTTTCTTTATCCCTACCTATGTCTCTTGTGGCTTAGGTAAATGAAAGGCCCTCATAAATTTTGTCCTGTGGATTACAAATGAGAGTAACAGAAGCATGTAGGTGCTGAAGCAAAGAAGGACAAAAGGCGTAGAAATAAGATGTCAGGCTACATTAAGACAAATTGGAAAGGAACAAGCCAGTATGTCAACTGGTGGCTTTCCTATAACAGCAAGATTTGCTACTGCGGGAAGGGTCGAGGAAGCTTTCTCTAGTCTAGCTTTTGTTAGCTTGAGAGAATACTCAGTAGCTACTGAGGACACAATAAAAAAGAAAAAAAGGCCATTACTCTAAAGTGTGGGGGTTGTGTGTGTTTGTATGTATGTGTATTACTCTAAAAAAGCCAACCCCAAAAAACCTCACAGTACATATCATGGCTTTTTTTTTTACAGTAGTCTTTACAATATGCATCTTCTTCTGAATAGCTTTTTAAAGCTGTGGCACTCTGCAGGGTTAAGAATTTCTCTTCTGAAAGAGATTTACGGAACTGTATTTGTTTAATGGCCTCAAAATAAGATGCAGGGGGAGAAACAGCCATAGTAATAAAACGTCTGCATCACTAGAAAGATAAGCCAATCTGCCTTTCTTTCTAACTCTTTAATTTTTATGAGTTACTTTATACCATGAAAAATGTTACTCTGCTAGCAAAGAATGTTTTTCAGGACCTAGGTGGGCCTTTCAGTTTTCCAGAGCTCTCCAGACCAATATGATTTCTTTTCCTATAACACTTGATCAGTTCTCAGTTTTGTTACCACTCTCTAAATCTCTTCCTATTCTGGATAAACAGGTGAGACAAATTACGGGAGTATTATAAAGCTTTCAACACTTCACAGGCAGCCAACGAGCTCAAAATAGAATTCTGACTTCAGCCACAGAAGAGCTGAAGTACGATTCAGCTGTTTAGGATGAGTCAAATACTTCTTCAGGTTGCACAGGGGTTAGCCATAATTTGACACCTACTTGAGATATGCTGAGCAATACCATGCTACCAGAAGTATGGTCAAAGGGAAGAGAAGCATGTGAGAACACCAGGACATAAATATGGACACTTCTTGCTGTATATCACTACTATGAATCAATCTTTTCAGTTCAGGGTTACAGCTGATACCGAGCAAAGATTTATAACTGTTAATCCCTATTAAAAATATCAGAAGGAAACTTCTTTATGGTAGACTGCCTAGTTGAAGGGGAGAGAAAGGATGAGAGGGGAAGCGATCCCTTTCTATATGTCGCACATCTGTTACTGTTTAGACATTGATGTTGAAAAATAATGAGGTGGAAAACAAGCAGGGGGAAGAACAGTCCTGTAGTTCATATCAGTCAGGAAGAAAACCTCATGTAAAATTTGAAAAGCTTGAATAGGAACTCTGCTGAACAAAGACTTCAGAACTAACAGTGTTACTGATTTGGGGTTTTGTTATCTTTCCCTTCCTTTGAATGCCCCCCTCTTTTTTTTTTTTTTTTTTTTTTAAGATAGCTCCCCCTATCTATGCTAATTACTCTTACAGAATTCCCAGTTCTCATAAATTAACTGTGTAAATTTCAGATTTAGTATGTTTTCCTTCATAGTATGTAGTCTTTCTTTGCGATACCACTCAGTTACATATTTGGTTTCATTTTTCATCATGTATGTGGTTAATGGTAACATGGTAAACGCCTATGGGGTTTTTCCTGAGTGAGATGATATTTGTTTACATAATACACTGCATTTTCCATCTGCCTTATTATACTAATATGTTTAATATTACATTAATATTAAATTATTCCAGTGGAAAGAAGCAAAACCGGAAGAACTCATGGATTCGAAACTTAGGTGTGTGTTTGAGCTACCAGCGGAAAATGATAAGCCTGTGAGTATTCAGATGCATATTGAGTGTTTTAACTTAACACCACAGTAAATCATGTAAAATGGCATGTTTATACAGACAGCTATATAAGCAAAAGACAGAACCCTCTGTTTCACTGCCTGGATGGCATCACCCTTTCAAAACCCAATATAAACTATTTAAAATCTTAGTGATGCTTAATGTAACTAGCAGCTAATTTGAACAATTTAAGTGCAACACAAGTACAATGGAATCTTTGAGTTGATCTGTTTTCATTTAGTGAAAGATCATAGGATAAAGAATATTTTTTTTTAAAAATTGAAAGATACTGATTGATGGTCATAATGCTCAGAGTTTATACTGAAGCGGTTACAACCATCAGCAACATAAATTTGCCTTTCCAACACTCCTCTTTGCTTCCTTGTGTCGTGGTTTAACCCCAGCTGGCAACTAAGCACCGCACAGCCTCTCGCTTACTCCCCCCCGCAGTGGGATGGCGGAGAGAATCGGAAGGGGAAAAGTGAGAAAACTCGTGGGTTGAGATAAAGACAGTTTAATAGGTAAAGCAAAAGCCGTACACACAAGCAAAACAAAACAAGGAATTCATTCACTCCTTCCCATTGGCAGGCAGGTGTTCAGCCATCTCCAGTGTGGGATATCCCTTTGGTCAGTTGGGGTCAGCTGTCCCAGCCGTGTTCCCTCCCAGCTCCTTGCGCACCCCCAGCCTCATTGCTGGTGGGGTGGGGTGAGAAGCAGAGAAGGCCTTGACTCTGTGTAAGCACTGCTCAGCAATAACGAAAACATCCCTGTGTTATCAACACTGTTTGCAGCAGAAACCCAAAGCCTAGCCTCATACTAGCTGCTATGAAGAAAATGAACTCTATCCCAGCCAGAACCAGCACATTCCCCACCCCTTATTCCATGCCATTTACATCATGCTCAGCTCTCACACTATCCAATACATCCTCATCAACCACCCCCCCCCTTTCCATTCTTACTATAATACACAGATATCATTCCCTTAGTCTGTGGACCACCCCTGTAAAATGTCCAGAGAATGTCCAGAAGTGCCCACAAAGTGCCCATTGAGTTCATTTAGTCCCTGCCTTTGGGCTCCATCCGTGATGGTGGTCACTCAGGACAGGAGAGGTGGTGCGTTGCGTGGAGTCACTGGGCACCAAAGCCAGCTCAGGTCGGGTCACTGCTGCACATGCACTGCTTCTTGTAAGGCCTGTCCTCCACTGGTTCAGGTGGTTCCTGCTATAGTAATTCCCATAACATGCAGCTCAAATCCTGGGTTACAACAATTTAAAGGTATTTCCACTACCATCTCCACCCTGGTCCCTTTGGGCCAGACCATTGGGTTTAACATTGCAATGAACTCCTCCCCCTTGCCCCTGCTCCGGCTTGGATTTATCCACAGACTGCAGTCCCTTAAGGGTGTACCAGCTCCAAGTGGAGCCTTATCTGTGTGCCACAGTCTCTCCAGGGGTATACCTGCTGCGGTATAGACTTATCCACAGCCACGGTCCCTTTGAGGTGCATCTCTTCCAGTGTGGTGATAACAACACTGATTTTAGCAAGTAAATTGTTAGAAAGCTAGTAAGGAAGACACAAATGCAGTTAGGGATTATATTGCAATTAGCAGCTATAATATTGTAGGATCCTTTTTTTGTTAGGGTAACGAATGCATTAATTTCTAATGGAAGTATGTAGTGTCAAATATGGAACTGATAATGGATTGAATGAACTGAAAAAATGTTTGAAACATTTGTTGAAAAAATGCAGAGGGAACTGCAGCAGAGCAGGTGGGTGGTTCCTAGCAACACCCTGGTTCCTGGAGTAGCTGCTTGTGTTGCGCTTGGGGAGGGAAAGGTGAGGAGAGTGCTAATACTCCATAAGCAGACTGTGAGCAAATAAGTTCCCATTCATATTGTGGGATATGGTCTAAGGATATTTCCTTTTCTATATATGCAAGGACTGAAAAGTCGAGGTCATTCTGTCTGTACTTATTGCTGCTGATCTGGTGTTTTCTGTGAGACAGAAAAGGGAAGTAAAGGTTACAGAAAGAAAAATGTTGTTTATTTCTTTTGATACAGGCATGTTTCAGGTGTGCACAGACAATTTTACCTGATTCTCCTCCTGAATATCAGGTGTGTGGTGTGGTGGTAATAACTAACCAAAAATCACTCTATCCTTTTTTAACAGCATGACATAGAAATAAATAAAATTGTATCCACAACTGCAACAAAGACAGATTCCTCTGTAATGTCTAAATCAATAAGTTCTTCTTTGGATGACACTGAAGTTAAGAAAGTAATGGAAGACTATAAGAGGCTTCAAGTAGAAGTTCAGAGGTTACGGGAGGAGAATAAACAGTTTAAGGTAAAGATGCTTTTTTTTTTTTCCCCCTCAGATTTACCCCTTTCTTGAAAAGGAAGCTTCTGACTTAAAGGTTTGGTTACCTGACCTTGGCACAATATTTTAATATTGTCTATAAATTAAAAGATAATTTAGGTTTCTCTCAAGAAACTGGGAAGAAGTGTTGAAGTCAATGCTTCCTTTGAAAGGAGCGTACAAGTCATGCGGCCAGAGAAACTGATTGGATAGCAACCCAAAGTAATGAATTCCCTCTCTTTTTCTTTCCCCACCTAATTTTCTCAGTCTGAATTAAGCATTCAGTGTTGAATTTGGCCCTGTGCTCTCAAACTGATGGGAGCTTGAGGGCAGTGTTGTGCAAATACTGAGTGTTTTAGTAATTGCACCTATAATATGCAGTTGAAATAACCAAAGTAAGACAGACTAATAGGAAATATGTTTCCTGTCATATCCAGCACAACACTGTGAAATCAAGTAATTGAGAAGCCTTTATCACCGTGCTGAAAAACACTTTTTACAGTAGTTTCATTTGTTGTAAATGTCTAGTTTCATAGATAACAGCACCAATGAAAATTTGGAATTTGTGACTATTGGAGCCCAATGAAAGAGACTCTGTTCTGTCAGCTCTGATGGTTGATCCATGAAGAAATCCTTTAAACATTTGTAAACCAGTTCTGTTTTGCACATAGAAATAATACATTTTTATAGCTGAGACACAACCTTAACTTTTCCTTGTGTTCTTGTTTTGCCAGCGTCTCACAATGCTATAAGTACTATATGATTTTATTTTATTGCAAATCAGTCTTGAATAAACACTCTACAGGAGATATCTAGAATTGAGCTGATGTCTTACAGTAACATCTTAAAATGGTGAGCTCTTTGTTCCCTTTGTGGAGTGTTAGAAACATCTGTAAAACATCAGTAAAACAATGTTAAATTACTGCCAGCCACCCGGTGCTCTCAGTGTCAGGCTAGAGTCACTGTCAAAAGCAAGTTAAAATATTTAAAATGAAAATGTGTCGTTACTAGCAGTAAAATTACTATATAGGTAAACAACATTTTGTTGTTTACAAAAGTCAGTTGTCCCCGTCTAGACTTACAGCAGTAGTGAGGTATCAGGTAGTCTGTGACTCCTAATAAATAAATAATAATATTAAAAAAAAAAAGTTTTCCTCCAGAATGTTAGGTGCCCCTTCAAATTCAAAAGTGAGAAACACTGACATATACTGAGCCTTTTGAATTTCACCTATCTGACAATTTTTAAGGCTGCAGTAACTTTTAGTACAAATTTTATTTCTTGAGTATTTTGTTATGTATAGACTAGAGGTTTTTGCTTCAGTATCTTATACTTTAGCACTGTAATACTGTATCACATAAAAAGTCTAACACTGTTGCTTCAGCTGTATACAAGTTAGGTCACAAAACGCTCACTTTACCCTCTCCTGAAGTGCTCTGTGTGTGGAATGGAGTGTGCTAACACACAGCCGTGCTGCATAACAGTTTAGATCAAGATGTGGGGAACATCGTCTCCACTTGAAGTGATGATATCTGGTGTTATAATGTTGTTTTATCTGTTGTCTCATACATCTTTAAATCAAGAGAGCTGTCAAACTCATACCGAGAAAATATCCTAATTATTGCCATTAGTTTCATGTGAAAATGTCAGCATTAATATGATGGGGGAAATAGATTTCCCTTCAAATGCTGGTAAAATTTGCTTGTGACATCTAACTAGGGGAATGATGAGTATAATTGCCTTAAAGCTGCGTATTTTTCACAATCTATCTTAGTTATATTGAAAAGCGTTTTCCCCAACAGCACTATATTTGATTACAGAGGAAGAAAAGCACCTTTATGCCATTCCCTCCGTCATTGTTTTTGAAGTTCTGGAGCTGTCTCCAGACTTCGGACAAGTGTTCTTGTAGGCTTCCTCATTGCTTCCCCATTACCCTAGCCAGCAGGAGAAAACTTCCAAGAGCATGTGGTTTTTGCTCTGCTAGTCAAGTAGGTGCAGAATTCCTCTCCTACCTCATTACCCTTTCCTTCTCAGGATTATCTAGAAAATAGAGCTCTAAATTAGCTGTAAATTAGCTTTCACCTGTTTTTTCATGCCCACCTAAAATAAATATGATAAGGGTGAATATTTGGAGCTTTTTTCAGTAGAAGTAATCAATATACCTTCCTTTAGGAAGAAGATGGACTGCGGATGAGGAAGGCACCCCAGACAAACAACCCAATATCTGCTTCTGCAGCTGCTGTCAATGATGAAGGGCTCAGCTCCAGACTACTTGCTTTGGTGGTTTTGTTCTTTGTCTTTGGTGTACTTATAGGAAAAATAGCCTTGTAGAGGCAGCATGCTGGAAATTGTAAATTGATTTGATGGTTCTGCCATATCATTGGATTAAATTTATTCATAACAATGTTTAAAAAAAAAAAAATTAATGTATGACATCTCACAGGTCTTGCCTTTAAATTACCCCTGCACAAATACTATGTAACATAATCTAGAAAGTTTAAAATGTACAATGAGTGAATGAATGAAAGAGAATATGCTTCAGTGATGAAGAGGGGGAGAAAATCATGATTTAACACTACAATGGAATATTGTATATGTCATTTTAAACATTCTTAGACCCTGGTACATGTTGCTGGATGACCTCTTTTTAAAAAAAAAAAAGAAAAAAAAAAACCCAAGGAAAAATAGAAAAAAATATTCCTCCACTGCTGGAGCTGGCCCTACTGGATGTTTGGAGCTGGGTTAGGCAGGAGGTGTTGATGACTTCTGTAAAATACGTTAATCCACCATTCTGCTCATAAATTTAACAGTTTCTGTCAGTGTCTTCAACTCTGTGCAAGTTACCAATTTCATGGCACTTAAATGAATAGTGAGAAGCTGAAAAGAATTGTATGTGGCAATGCTGAATGTGCTAGGCATCATTAAGAGGCATATATTGACTGGTATGACGCTCATTTGGAATAAAGGTCAATGCCTTGTTCTCATAAAGGGACCAAGCTACATTGCTGTTGGTTCATTTAGTTGAATTAAAATGTTATTCAGAGATGTTTAATGCATATTTAACTTATTTAATGTATTTCATCTCATGTTTCCTTATTGTCACAAAATTGACTAATACTATATGGTATGAAAAGGCACCTGTTTAAAGCCAGTGACTAGAACTAAAAATTTGCTGCTGTAGTGATGCAAGATTCTTCTGCCTCCTGGTGTTTTGGGCACTACACAATTATTGGGAATTTTGATCATCTGAGCATTGGAGAAACAGTGGTCAGGAAACTGTTTTTGTATGTAAATAAGTCTATCTAGGGGAAAAAATATTAGTAGTAAACTAGTCCTATGCCGTAAAAGACCAATCCTGTTTGACTATGTAGCATCTTAAAAAAAGAAAAAAAAAAAAAAGAAAAGAAAAATTAAATAAAGCCCCCAAATTAATGTTTCCTTTGTTACTTTTGTCATGTTCTCACAGTTTTGGGGGGCGGCGGAAACAGTTTTCTCTGTCAACTTTGTTTATGGCATAAGGAAACTTGCAGCCTTGTTTCAGGATGAATTTTTTTTTGCAGCCTGATTTTAAAATCAATCCAAACCACCCCATCATGAGCCTGATGTACATAGGTGTTGTTCAGAGTAACCGTGCTGACTGCTGAGGTACAAGGTAACTTCCCATTTTCCAGTTTAGTTGGATTCAGTAGTTAAGATGCTTGATAGCGTGTTGAAAGTAAGGTGAAGGTAACTTTGTTTCTAAGCATACTTTTAGTACAAAATACATAAACTCAAACTCAGTGTGTGTTAACACATTGAACTTCAGTAGATGAAATAGCTTTTGAGCAGGTAAATTCCCATATATTCTTAGATGGTGTGTCCAAAAACCATCGGTGACAAACGTTTTTGTAACAGCTTTCAGGGTTAAGATACGTCTTTTAAAAGTGACTCCTTTCATTCCTTTATTATTCCTGTGATTTCTTGAGAAAGCTGTTTGGGCTGCAGCCTGTCTGCTACACTCGTTGGCCTTTATATTTGTTCAACTTGTGTCTCAAGGGTTTCCTGCTTTGCAAGTGCAAATAAGTGAAATTTTATGTGAGGTTTAATAAGAAAATAGGAGGAAAAAGTCTTAACTGGTGTGTTCAGCTTATGAACACGACTCTGGAAGTATTTCTAGAAGATTCAATAGAAAGGACAGGTGTATCTTTAGCATTTTAAAATGCTAGTGCCTTGTCTGCTCAGGATGGAAGTGAGAACGCTATTAAAGTATGCCTATAAAGGGCAGAGAAGATGGGAGATGAGCTGGAAAGAACGAAGCAGTGAGTTCAGTGTGACAAATTGGGCAGAACTGATCAAGAAAAAGATACTTTCTGGGCAGTAGAAGCTAATGAAGACTTTTACATGACACATTTGTAAAGAACCTTTTCAGAAAGACGGGGTTGTAAGTGATGGTGCAAAATTAGTTTTTATGGCTTTGAAGAATATATTTGAGAAAAACTTTACTGAAGGGAGACTGAGCTATGCGGTATTTTTTTAAGAGGCTTAAATATCTTGATCTCACTACAAATGTGTTATCAGAAGAGCTGAATTCCTAATTTGCTCTAAAAAAAAAAAAGAAAAGGTATTAACTTTTTTTGAGAGCCCTTTGTTCTGCTGAAAAACAGCCTCAAAAAAGTTTGTTTAAAAAATAAAAATCACTGTCTTTGCAGGGTAGAGGCAGAGGATTGAAGCTTTAACCCGATCTCTTGCGAGTGTCGCTGTAATAACGTACCAGGCAAATTTTACACACACTGTTAGCTACCACAGTTGACTTTGCTGGCACAGGCAGCTCCCAGATGGAGGGAAAAGACAGCAGAATGTCTGTCCTCCTCCCAGTGTTCCGTAGTCACTTCTTAGTGATCTGTGACACCTTGGAACTTTAAATCATTTGTGAGCAAAGTTGTTCCTGTTGTTTGCGCTCCAGGATTATAAAGAGGTCCCAGAAAACCCACTCATCCTCTGCTAGATGCCTTGCAAACATGTGCTCAAGGAGGCCAACAGAGGACCTTAGTTCAGGATCTGTTGGTAACAGCTGTAGCCTGCAGTTGGGGCTGACGGCCACCATCAGTCCTAAACAATACTGTTAAATTAACTGCTTCGATTTTGGAACTTAACAAAACTGAGGTCTTTCCTAACCATTTCTGACAACAGCCTGAACAGGCAGTAGCACTGAATTGTCTGGGTAACGCTTTGCTTTTGCTGAGCTTAAAATAAAATGACAAATCAGTGGAATCCTTATTTACCTGTCTGTTTGACCGGACCCTTCTTTCATATGCAGTAGAAAGAAATCTAAGGATGTTTTTTCTTCCAAGGTTCCCAAAAGGCCAGTCTGTAGATACATTGCAAAAATGCGTTGGATGGATGTTCTTAAGCCACCTGGATCTTTTGTAAGTTGTTCCTTACATGATGATGCCAGAGCAAATGTTTTCGCAAAGTATTCATAGAAAGTGAATTGTTCTGGAGGGCATTGTGTATCTTAGGAAGCTATGCATGAAACATAGAGTTTCTAAATAAGAGTATTGTCTGGTGTCCTCACACAACACCAGATATTAGAAAACTTTAATTGATACATGATAGTAAAAATGAAGTTATTACTTAATCTAATTATTGTCCTTACTGTTGTTTTAAGATGCCCACTTGCATATACACTTATTGTTAATTTTTTGTAAGAGCCCGTACAGGCTGCTTAGGTAGTCTCCATTGTGTGGAGCTTTACGCTCCTGTCTGCACTCTTTGGGCAAATTTGGTATGAATAGGTATCTAAAATGTCTTGACGCCTAGTACTGGGACATGAATGGAAAATGGTTTCTATTTTCCTGTAGTTATCCACATCTTAAAGTAAATATTACATGCATGAATGATCATGACTGTTGCTCTGCATTTGCAGTTGTCAGCTGTGAATGCACAGCTGGAACCACTGCATATGCAGTATGCACAGGCACCCGGTTTCAAGTTAGTGTTGAACAGCCTTAGGGATTGAAGAGCAAGATACTACCACGCGTGTCATGTTGGGAGGGATCAATGTACCATAATGTAATTTTCTAAAACCACAGGATTGTAATAGCTCGATGGTGGTATTCCATGTTGCTTTTTTGTCCTGCAATGCTGTCAGTGGGATAAAGTTGGAATCTCACTTTGCTAATGGGTATAGTTTCTTCTCACCAATAAACTATAAAGGGTTTCTATTCGCTGCACATGTAAACTTGCAATTCTTATTATGATCTGGACTTAGCAGTCATCGTATTTACATAGTGGTGTGCACACAAAAATGGATTGTTAATGTCTTAAGATACTTGATGTTGCAGTTCCCTAATGAAAGAAAACTATGTCATCCCTGTTCTTGAGAAAATGCATGTGACACTTTCATCTCTTAGTTGGAACGCTTCCTTCATTCTCGGCACGATAGTGACTTAACCGTAGTATTCTAAGTTTTCGAAACTATACTTCTCTTGCTCCGCATGATGTCCTGAAATGCCATATCCCGAGTTCTGTTTTCTATATAAAGTAAATGAGAAAAAAACACAACCAAAAATCCCTCTGTTTGAAATTAAAGAACATGTGAAACAAGGACTCTGAACTTCATCTTTGCTGTGGCTGTGTTACAGCTGCAGTGGAACTTCACAGCAGCGCTAGGGCAGCTTGGGGCTGGAGAGCCGCCTTTGCGTTGTTTGAAACCGGGTTAGCATCCCTTACTCGGATCCTCAAGTGAGCGAGCTGAGAAGGGGCAGGTGGTGAGCGCATTTCAGTGTACGCAGTTGAGATACTGGGTTTTGGGAGTCAGAAACACTAATATAAAAAGAAGAAAGTAATCTGTACAGGAGTGAGACTAGTTCAGTACCAGATGTGGAAGTTCCTATTCTTTGTAATCAGACACATGCCTGAAAATTTAATTTACTAGTTAGAAAATACATAATATAACCCAATGTATAACCCAATGTTTAGGCATTTTAGAAAGAAGAGCAACTACTGAGCAAGGCTGCTTGCTCACGTAGTGAAACCTAGCAGTTCTCTAGCTATACTTTATTAAAAGATGACAGTGGGATACAATGCTAGTATAAATCATCTGTTACAGTTAGATAAATAGCGGGATTTATTGTTCCAGCAGGGCAGTGCTGATCCTTTGACCACGTCCAATTAAGATTTCTTTATATTATACTGACAGCTTCATGTGTACTGAATCGCTTTGTCTAAGGGGTGTCAGTGCAGAAGTGACATTACTCATTGGGCTATTATTAACTTTTATTTTGATTAGCTTCAGAGGACAAAGTAATTGTGTGTTTCCACTATTCAAATCTGCTTAACTATAAAATTTGTTTGTTTTATTAATGGGTTGATTTTTTTTTTTTTACTGGATAAATGTAGATTATTTTTTAAAATAACACCAGAGCCAGCCAGAAATCTCGTACATGTAATATTCTAATAAGCATGCACTTGCACACTTCCAGAACGACGCTATACCTGTCATTTACTGCGCCGTTTCCTGTGGCTTCGCTTCCTTTTACAGAACTGCTTTCACATTTGTACTTTGAAGAGTAAAACTTCTGAAAACTTTACTAAACTTCCACGTAGATCTTTTTTGCCTCCCAGTCCAGGCCTAAGTTTGTCCTGAAGCTTCTGCGTGAGTGAAAACTGCAAAAAGGAACGCTGAGTCTATGAGTACAGAAACAAGGCTGCTTTTCCTTGAAGCAAACTTGAACTTTGGATCCTTCCTCCTATGGTCTGTCGTTAGAAAATGGCCTTTTCCAGATGGCAAAACAAAAGAAGTTAAGAAAACAACTGAATTAAGAAGAATTAATTGAAGCCGCATATTACAAGTTGACATTCTGCATCTGGCATTTCTGTTTATGTTTCTGCATCAGTACCTTTCATTCCTATTTAATAAGTTCTGAATTTTGTGATTTTTTTTTTCAAGATTTTGAAGTGCCTATGAAGAACTGAAGAACAGCCCGTAGTAAAGTATCGTTCCCAGTTTAGCTGTACTTCATTTTTTTTAATCAAATCTTTTTCTTCAGTGGATAAACTCACAAGATTAGAAAAGCCTCTTGAACTCCCTCATGTTTGAGTTGGCAAAATTCCCACACACAGTTATCCACACACAACTACTTTTAAAAGGCCTTTACTAAGGCTGCATTTGCAAAGTCAAGCACTCAGAAGTTAGGAAATGGCAAAACCAAGTCTGTGCAGTGTTAGTTTGGCCGCTTTTTGGGGGTGCGTTGCAGTATCCGATCAAGCCTTCAGCACCTGGTCAGAAAGTGAGCGAAGGCTGCCCAGAAGGGGTCTGCCGCTGCCCAGCTTCGTGGGCCTCACCTTACGTTGTCTTAACTGCTCTTAAGATACGTATAGTTAGGTTTTTAAAAGTTGAACTTAAAAAACGGCATCGTGGTATTGCACGTAACCCATGTGTGCGTCA